ACTCTCTCTCTCTCTCTCTCTCTCTCTCTCACACACACACACACACACACACACACACACACACACACACACACACACAAACATGCAATGACACGCACACACACAGACACACGCACAGATTTTCAGCCATCATTTTGGCTCTATTCCCAAGAAAACAATCCTGCCTTGACTAGGTGTAAGATGTTGCACTTTGATTGATTCATTCTTGAAATTACTGCGGAAGTTTTTACAGCTCTGTTGAGAGGGTTTCTGTCTTGCCTAACTGGAAGAGCAAAATGTCACTTAAAAAGTTAAAAGTTGAAAAACAACTCTGAGTTCATAACTTGTCCTTGAGGGAGTGATTTTGGGCCGACTGAGGATTTGGCATCCTTTACACTCACTCAGCCATTTGGAAGTATTGAGTTCTTTTACTGCATGTAACCGTCCTGAAGATATCCAGTGGAAGGGTCTTATTAGTCAATTCTCACAGCGAAAAAATGGCAGAAAAGTGAGAAGGGACAGAACGAAATTAGGAGAAAAAGAAAAGGTATGATAGGGAGCCTGGTACTGCTCCCTGCATAGAACAGAGTTAGGTAGGCTGTGGTGTGATGTCTCTAACCCATAACCCTTGGAGTCCCTGTGGAATTGTCAAAAATACACACAGTCCCCCGCACGAGGAGACGACAGCTTTGTATGAAGAAAAAAAGAAAAAGGTGTGATAGGGAGTGGCAGTCCAGTTCCTATGATATCTACGGGCTGGTCACCGGGTCTTTTCCTTTTTCTTTTTTTTTTTAAAGGTATGATAGGGGTACCCACCTCGAAGGGCGTGGAAGACGTTCCAGTGGTGTTGGCTCGTACGGATAGGAGTCGACTGAAGAATCAAACGAGGGGAAAAAATGGGCATCATGCTTCCACTCTGATCGATCCAGAGTCGTTGATGCAGACGAAGGCAAGCATCCTGCGGCATGCAGTGACATAGCAGTTCTTTCCGCTGCAATCCAAGTTAAAAGGAGAAGACGTGAAGCGTGCTTCTGCGTCAGAACCACAATCACGAGACTAAGGGTATGCTACTTTACTCTTGCTAGGACTTTTTAAAAACAGCTGAATCATACATCCACAAATTCCTGGTTCACCATCGGTTCACAATTATCGAGTTTAGGAGTAACAAATACATAGATACGGCCAGATTCCCCACAGGTTCACTCCATCCCAGTTGCCACAGTCACCCCAGGCATGAAAACAGCTATACATTTCCCCTGCCCCTGCCCCTGCCCCTGCCCCTGCCCCTGCCCCTTTAAGCGATGCATGTCACTTTTTTTAGTAGAAGAGGGCCACAACTTCGTCCACACAGGATGAACGAAACAGAAACAAGAGAGAACAGGAGCTGCACCTTCAAGTTTTTCCATCCGACGGAGAACGATTCGGCACCTTTCCTCTAGCTTTGCACGCGTTTCCGATGGGCTTTCTTGCTCGGGCGCATACGTGACCTTGATGATATTTCCTAAAAACTTGTAGTCATCAAGCTTCCTCTTGGCAAACCTGAGGAGCATGCCTCCAAAATGGAAGAACATACAAGCAGCAAAACGTCCGGACGGGAGGGGGCAGGACGCAGGGGGAGGAGGGAGGAGGAAAGGAGGAGGAAGGGGGATCAAAACAGGAGAAAGGAGACGACCGCCAATTTTCTACTCGTTCAAAACCAGAAAATCTTCAATCTTTTTCGTCTCTTCAATCGAAAGCGCGACATAAAGACAGAAAAAAAATGTCAAAACTTTTGAGATCTCACTGTCGATTCTACGCATTCACAATCAGGAAACCTTAAAATGATGGAGTCGATTCTACACATTCACAATCAGGAAACCTCCAAATGATGGACTCCTTCAACTCCAAGCTTCAATTCAAAGATACAATCATCGGTGGAAAATGACAGGATTATAGTATCATTATACTGCTATCGTATCCGCAGGAGATGGTTTTCAGTTGCTGCGGGCTACTTTGCATGCACTTCTCCCACCTTTTTGCTATTACTGGCTGTCGGTCGTCTTTTTTGTCCCTGATCCTATACCCTGCTTTGACTGTGTATTCCCTCTACCTGTCTTTGTGAACCATCCCCATTCAGTTGGCTCCACTTCTATATTCTTTTTTTCCAAGTGGGGATCCGGGCCGCCCGGGTGACCGGCAGCGGCCCAGGGAGGTCCCGGGCGGCCTGGCCGGGCAGGGCGCCCGGTTGGGGGCCGGCCCCCCCCAGCGCACTCACCTGTCGGGGGATTCGGACCCCCTTTCGGACCCCCTTTGTGTGTGTGTGTGTGTGTGTGTGTGTGTGTGTGTGTGTGTGTGTGTGTGTGTGTGTGTGTGTGTGTG